GTATCATAAATGTTTTAGTGTGAAATAAGCACATGTCCAAACCAGCCTATATTTTTCATACCCCGGGATACTCATTTAAAAAAGAATCATGTGTTAAGTATTACAAAAATTAGAGCTTTATTAAGATAGGGGGACCTGGTGATAGTGATAGCGGGAACTGGTGATGGGGGGACCTGGTGTCAGGGGGAACTGGTGATAGGGGGAACTGGTGATAGGGGGAACTGGTGATAGGGGGAACTGGTGATAGGGGGAACTGGTGATAGGGGATCTGGTGATAGGAGGAACTGGTGATAGGGGATCTGGTGATAGGAGGACCTGGTGATAGGAGGAACTGGTGATAGGAGGAACTGGTGATAGGGGATCTGGTGATAGGAGGAACTGGTGATAGGAAGACCTGGTGATAGGAGGAACTGGTGATAGGAGGAACTGGTGATAGGAGGACCTGGTGCCGTTCTTGGAATCAGTAGATGAACGTAAATTGTGCAAATTATTGACCTCTTCTTTCTACATTGTCTTTGTTCTGTTGCATCAAATAATATGATCCACTTATACAACAGAACAAAGACATTGCCAACATGTCAAGTGGTCTACAAATTAAATGGGATTGAGAAATGAGGACCTCTAATGTTAACGGTGGATTTAGTGAAACTTTTTATTTGCACTGTAGAAACACGAATCAAAAGTGTTGAGTAACATACTTCAAAATGAAATAACACAAAAAAATGAGCTTGTTTTGCTATAACTAGTTTGTTAAAAATGATTTAATGGCATTAAATTCATTATTATTTTATATTTATATATTTGAGAAATTTGAACACCTTTAAAGCACTGACAGATGTCATAATGACCAATTAATATTTGAACTGGTGAACAATTCTATAAAATTAGAAAAACAAGAAAATCTATATACCATGAGTCAAATCCATAACAACAGCACCATTAGAGTATCTGGCAGTGACCTTGAGGTCAAGAACTAAAATATAAATTATAAAAATTCAAGTAAAATAATTCAGCTATTTGCATCGTTGTAGGATGACTTCCATCATGCCAACATTCCTCATCCTAACTTTAAAATTAAGATAACCTAATCATTTCAATGTAATACGCCTGTCTCTCAATGGCAAGATTATCTAATCATTTCAATGTAACATATCTGTGTCTCAATGGCAAGATTATATAATCATTTCAAGTTAAAATATAGGTGTCTCAGTGGCAAGATTATCTAATCAGTTCAATGTAACATGACTGTGTCTCTTTGGCAGGATAAAAAGGTTAAAATGTCCAAGTCACTAACTCTAGCTATGTCCAAGGTCTTTGAACTGAGGGCATTATCTCTAGCCTTAAGATCCTTATAAAAAGACCCTTTACTTTTACTATATACAAATATTTAGCATCAAAACAAAAACCATTTATAAATATTAAAGACTCGTTTTCAAATTTTAAAAAAAAATACCACGATGGTACAGAAGATCAAGGTGAATAAATGAAATGATAAAAAAAAATAAAAAAGCAATGGCTTGCACAACACTCAGTGTTGGCATGCAACATGTTCAACATTGGCATGCAACATGTTCAACATTGGCATGCAACATGTTCAACATTGGCATGCAACATGTTCAGCATTGGCTTGCAACACGTTCAACATTGGCTTGCAACATGTTCAGCATCGCTTGCAACATGTTCAGCATCGCTTGCAACATGTTCAGCATGCAATTTTTCTATTACAACAACTAGTAAAGTGAAATACAGATTAGCTCAACTGTAAACATCGGACAAACTGAAGAGCATAAACACAAAAATTTTATACCGGTAATAAACATAGTTATCTAATGCAGTTCAACATGTGGTCTTATTATATGGTCTTTGGTTATGGGCAAACAATTAGAACATTTTAAGAAATATAGCATTTTTTATAACAAGTATTGGTGCATTTCTGCTGAATGGATATTATATATTCTGTTGGATTTATTTGCACAAAAGTATTTATAGAATTACATTTTTTAAATGCATCAATTCATTTTTAAAAAAAAATAGACTTGTTCACAATAATTGAATTCTAGCCCCAACTGATTCTAGCCCCAACTGTACAAAGCATTCTTAGAAAGAAATTTCCTGAAATTATCATGCATGGCATTCCTATAAAAAATATCTTAATCTCATAATTTTAAATAATTTAAAGAGGAAAATCTTGAGCACCCGTTTTCGATTTACTAACCACTTCTGTTCCTAGAGGTTGTTCGATATAAAGTTTTTGATTTACTAACCACTTCTGTTCCTAGAGGTTGTTCGATATAAAGTTTTTGATTTACTAACCACTTCTGTTCCTAGAGGTTGTTCGATATAAAGTTTTTGATTGTTATTGGTCAAACACCCTAAATATGATATGCACTAGTTGATGCCATCCTATATATTAGCTGTCCTCATCTTGAAATATTTACGGCATAGTATTTAATAACACACTTTAATTCAAAATAAAATGAAGTTCAAGATACCAACTGTAAATACAGAGATACTTTGAAATAAAAACTTCTCAGAAATCAAACAAATTAAAATCTGAATGCCCCAGAAATGAAAACAAATTGGAAGCTGAATGCCCCAGGACTCAAACAACTTGGATTCAAAAATTACCCTCTTACTCTTAGTTAGGATTAATGAAAAAACAGCTGGTGATTTCTGAGATGATTAATTTGTTTGTTAATTTTTGACCGTAAAATACAGCAAAGTTAAATCATTAGGAATACTTTTGTATGTGGGACCCAGGAATGGATTAAAACAGTTGCTATTATTTTAAAGGGAGAAAATTGTCTTGAAACTCAAACAGGTTTCTGAAAATGAAAAGCATTTAGTTCAGCTTTCAGCGTGTCTCTGTACTTCATTTAAATCACAATCAAAATTATAATATAATATAATCTTTAATTTACGATGTTCACAAAACTGAATGTTTCTGAAACGAGAAACCACCTGAATTATAAAAATTAATTGAACCTGCAATAATGATACAATTTTTAAATTAAAATGTACGGAAAATGAAGTTTCCACTTACAATATACAACTCAGCAGATTAAGACTAAGCATTGAGAAAACAGAGCAACAATTAACAAATATTGTTTCACTTTTGACCGATTAGAAAATAGAATTAATTTCCATATTTTTTTAACATACACTTAATGAAAATATTGATAAATGGTGCATGACAGAAAATTCCTGAAAACTATCATGTCAAGTTGAGACTGATACTGAAAGCGTCATCAACTAACTTCAGCACTTAAAAAATCCCTAACTTTAAAAAATTCAAATATTTGTACATTAACCCATCACATTTGAGGAACTTCCACCAGCACCTTGGTAGGCTTTAACTGCGGCAGCAGTACCAGCACCTTGTTAGGCTTTAACTGCGGCAGCAGTACCAGCCCCTTGGTAGACTTTAACTGTGGCAGCAGTACCAGCACCTTGGTAGGCTTTAACTGTGGCAGCAGTACCAGCACCTTGGTAGGCTTTAACTGTGGCAGCAGTACCAGCACCTTGTTAGGCTTTAACTGTGGCAGCAGTACCAGCACCTTGGTAGGCTTTAACTGTGGCAGCAGTACCAGCACCTTGGTAGGCTTTAACTGCGGCAGCAGTACCAGCACCTTGTTAGGCTTTAACTGCGGCAGCAGTACCAGCACCTTGGTAGGCTTTAACTGCGGCAGCAGTACCAGCACCTTGGTAGGCTTTAACTGCGGCAGCAGTACCAGCACCTTGTTAGGCTTTAACTGCGGCAGCAGTACCAGCCCCTTGGTAGACTTTAACTGTGGCAGCAGTACCAGCACCTTGGTAGGCTTTAACTGCGGCAGCAGTACCAGCACCTTGTTAGGCTTTAACTGCGGCAGCAGTACCAGCACCTTGGTAGGCTTTAACTGTGGCAGCAGTACCAGCACCTTGGTAGGCTTTAACTGTGGCAGTAGTACCAGCACCTTGTTAGGCTTTAACTGTGGCAGCAGTACCAGCACCTTGGTAGGCTTTAACTGTGGCAGCAGTACCAGCACCTTGGTAGGCTTTAACTGTGGCAGCAGTACCAGCACCTTGTTAGGCTTTAGAAACTCAATAAACATGCTACGTTTGATGAAATACATTGGAGTGTTTTTTAATGCTATTTTACAATCTGTGTCAAAATGTTTTGAAACGGCTTTAATGTTCAGTATATTCCACGACACTTTCACGTTAACATTGCTCTTTGGGCCTTGAAGGATGAGCTGTCTTAGCAACTTGTTATGGAAATCCTAGCAAAGATGTCTTTTCAAAAAGTCAAGTTTAAAAAAAACAATGAGCTTTAACTTTTTTCTGTGTAGCTCTTGCATTAGTTTTGGGAAGGCTGACTAATTTAAAATTGAATTAGATGTAAACTCCTTATTTTGTCCCAAAAATTAAGAATAGAATTAAGTAAAACACAAACAACTGATTGTTCATCATAAAGAAGATTATTAAAAAAAACAACTTTCATATGGTACACAATTTAACTGGCAAAAAAATGATCCTGTACTTTTGATGTCATTAAAAATCTTCTAGGTAAACATTTGCTTCCTTTTAATTCCTCCCTTTAGTCCTGAATAAAATTATCATTAAAATTTGAATGCTCTAATTCTAATGGCACTTAAATCATTTTTGTATCTGATTAACAAAAAATGAAAACAAAACAGTCAATCTGATCATCTGAAAACCAGATCTATAGAACTGTGATAGAGCTATCAGTTACTGTACAGCAATATCTTTAAATGCTTTGCTGTATAATTAGAATATTATACATTTCCTGCAACAAATGAAAGAGCCAGACTGCTGCTCATAACAGTTGCCTGAACCAAGCCATGCAAGGAAAGAGCCAGACTGCTGGTAGCCTTCTTACAAAAGCTGCCAGAACCAAGCAAACTGACTTTAAGAGATTCCAAATAATTGAAAACAGAATAAACAACACAAAGTTTTGATTAAATAACAAGATTTTAATCAAAATACAATGACGTTTCTTTTCCACTGATTTACTTAGAAATAAATGATAATTACAAACATACAACATGTTAAGCACTTTCACTTTCAGAGTTCACCCGTCTGTAAAATAAAAGGTAGGCGTTCTGTCTTATTTCTTCTGTACTTAATTGATACTCCATGTTCACTTCATCAACATCTTGGTCATTCATTCGATACCACTTGACCCCATCAAGGCAATAGTTGATATAATGTCCATTGGCGATGCTGTTTGCACCTAAATGAAGGCACAAGCCGTACAGCTGGTAAAGATAACCACCACTCGGCGCAGTGAGATCACTTCGATGAGTCACAGTGTCAAATATGACATCTCTTAAATTCAAACCATGAAGGCGAATGTTGATTGATGTAGACACTTTTGTGGAGACTTTGGCCACTTGGTCATATCTAAATCTCATTAGCTGAATTATGAGACATTCCGGTAGTTGACGAAGCAGGCACCGGCGCTGCAACCTTGGCTGGGTTCGAATAGTCACACCCTCTCCTATGGGAGTGGAGGTTTTAAATGTATTACCATCAAGAAAACCGCTGTCACCAAGTCTTTGAACCCCAACAGGTGGCGATAATGGATAATTAGCAGGTAAAACTGGAACTATGGTATACGAGGCGGGAGCAGGAGAGGGAAACACCGACTGATGGATGGGCGAAGGCAGATAACCAGAAGGATCTCCTTGCCCGAGGCGAAATGGTTTTCTTGAAACAGGCGTCCCGCTTACTCCTACCTTGCCAATGACATTTCTTCGCCTATGAACATCTGAAATTTGAACAAGAGGTTCCTGCTGAAGATTAGTATTGGGAACCGATTCTGGCGGTGAAACAGGAACTTCAGAGAGATTTTCAACATTACAGAAACTAGTAAAACAATCTTCTAGCAATACCATGCCTGACGAGTACCTAGGGGCAGCTATTGGCACTGGGAGGACATTAAAAGCTTGCAAATTGACAGAGATGTGGCCATGTTCCACACTATGATAAGCTTCAACTAGTTGGCCAGTAAACAAATTGTCAATCACAGTTTCATTAGCCTGCTTGTGTGTTAGCCACTCCAAATCAGACAGCCGTTGTATAGCTTCTGCATAGGACTCATTTTCAAGACCATTGGCAGCAGCAATCTGTAATGAAATTATAAGATCCTTAATTTTCCATTTGTGCTGTATAAGTTTCATATCTGACATTTTCTAAAAAATTAAATTGTAATAATTTAGATCAATAATAGAACTGGTAAAATTAGATAAACAGAAAAAAAAAATACTACTATTTTTCAAGCCCATTTTTTGGGATGGTTGTACCAAGTGCAACCTGTGCCTTAACATTCCTTCTCACTTCTAAAATATGCCCCTTCCTTTTCTAAATGTGCCTGAGTGAGCTGACATTATTAAATCAAAACAATAAAAATTAAATTCTTTAACCTCTAGTCTAAATGGATGTTTAATTCTAACCCTAATTCTGACAGTAACCAGACCTGTTTGCCTGGAACTCCTAAAATCGTACAATATCGTCTCAAAATTGCACAATACAATGTCTTAATAGTAAATAAGAGTGTCTTAATAGTAAATAAATAAAATACAGCATGCCATATATATAATGCATACAATAACTACTCTCATCGTGTGTCTAGTGAGATCGAGTTAAGCTGGCGTCAAAAAGGTTAACCTCTAAAAGTAGATGATATTACAGTCTGATAACTACTACAAGCAGTAAGTGGGTGAAAGGAAGAGGGGGTATTCAAAATAGTACAGATTTTGTAGCGTTCTAAAATAGATATCAAAGGCCCTCTCAAATCCTAAATATGTTGAAATCTAATGTTGAATAACGGAAAAGTAAAGAATGAATTTTCTAGTTTTCTTCGTTTCCGCACTCATCTCGCTTCAACTGTAAGAAATAATTATGTCACAAAATTACATCATTCAGCGCTGAAGCAAACAAATGCAAGGAATCACCTATATGGTAGGTACAAAATGTTTTTTTAAAAAGACTTTAACCCACCCCCCCCCTTTGCACATGTATTTTTTTACTCTTCAACTGTAAGAAATAATTATGTCACAAAATTACATCATTCAGCGCTGAAGCAAACAAATGCAAGGAATCACCTATATGGTAGGTACAAAATGTTTTTTTAAAAAGACTTTAACCCCCCCCCCCCCTTTGCACATGTATTTTTTTACCCCCCCCCCCTCTATATGGGTTGCTGTGGCTTGCTCACAGGGGACAAAGCAAATATTAAAAAATTTTCATTATTTATTTTCACTTTTAATCCACTGTGAGTACTGTGACATCTAACGATCATGGTGCAAACTGTAACCCACTTAAGTAACTACTGTTTGCAGTTATTGTTAGTAGTTACTAAGATGGTGGTTAGTGACCTACATATGTGTTATATTTATTTTTACCCAACCTTTTACTTTATTTTGTTTCAGTAACCCGATTACTAAATCAAAACAATGAAAATAAAATTATTTTACCTCTCGTCTACACTGATCTTTTAATTCTTTGATACGGTTAGCATTCAGGTCTCCATATATAAGCTTTAAGCTGTTCAGTCTGGGACTAGAGAATCTATCATCATTGGTTAAACTGGATGGATCTAAAGACAAAAAGGAAGCAAATGAAGTACTATCTTTAAAGTAAATGCACCTTTTAATTTTAAAAGCCAACAAGTAGTACCTTTCTATTAATAAATGCAATATTATTATAATTTCTAATAGTAAAATAAGAAAAAAGTTTATTGTAGAAGAGCTTTAAGAGGTATTATGTGCAAGCAATATGAAACAATGGTAGAGAGTAAAATAAAATAAAAAGTATCTCTTCTCTGTACACTTATTTAGCCAGGCGTTGAATAGAGCAACAAAAGAAACTCACAACTCTAAAAAAATTTGAAAAAATCCTTGTCAAGTTATAAAAGAAAACATATTCTAACAACATTACAAAAAAAATGCTACAGTAATGAATTACTACACTACATCTCTAAAGACAAAATTCTCTCAATCAGATAGTTTACCACCTGCTCCTTTTTGCTGCCCACTTATTATCAACAAACAACTAAGTTTTTCTGGCCCTGGTACTAACTAATCTGACACTAACCAAGGTCTGTATGGACATTTCACATTGATCAGCAAACTACAAAATAAATGACTTTGACTCTATCATGATTAGGGCTGTCGACGGGTACTCAGGTACACAGGAACTCAGGTCCTCAGGTACCAGCCCTGAGGCTAGCAGCACAATTTTAATCAATCATTAAAAACCCCATAAAAACTTCTGCCCAAAGTTTGTGTCATTGGAAGGCTGATGCCAGTAGTAGCTGATGCCAGTAGTAGCTGATGCCAGTAGTAGCTGATGCCAGTAGTAGCTGATGCCAGTAGTAGCTGATGCCAGTAGTAGCTGATGCCAGTAGTAGCTGATGCCAGTAGTAGCACTGGATGTCTCCTGAATTCCCACTAGCGCCTGCCTACTGCCTACACCCGGCACTGGCATGTTTCTTGTTTGGGGCACGCAGCAACTAAACTGCAATACATTCATCTGATAAAATTTACAGCAGCTTTTGCGAGATTAATGCTGAACCCTTGTCGTGCTGCATCAGAAATTTTTTCTTTTGTGTTTCTTCAACTATGCTAACTTTTTTCTATGACTTGTAAAGACCTGCAAATTCTTGACATCTCCACATGTTAGTGTTCAAATATTTCAACAAAAAAATCAACAACAAAAATATCTTCAACCATTCTTGAGATATGGGGGTTGAGTTGTTTTTACACCCATACAGGCGGCTTAGTTTAAACCTTTACATATTCTGTATGAAAATATGCAGTATAGGAATACTTTCTGTATGGTATTCAGTATGTACACATTATTTCGGTTATTTTTTTGTGTAAAATAATATAAGATTGTTGATTTTCCTTAATGGCACATGTTTTATTATCATTTTTATCGTTTGTATTGCTCATGGCTTGGAACATATGTGTACAAACATCAGAAAACTATTCTGCTATGTCGCTCAATGCAGGTAAAATATTGATCTGCAAACTTCTTATATATATATCGCAGAATGCAAACCCACAAAGACCAATATGAACCTCAAATTTCATTCTAAGCGCCAGTCTTATATTTTTAAAAATAAAAGACCTCTTTTCACAGAAAAAAATTATTAAAGTCCTACCATTTTTTAAAAACCATTCACCAATCAGCCGACTCAGTGACATGGTACAATATGCATTGAATTAGAGTTTTTGAAATGCAGTAAGTTCATTTAAGCAACCTTTCTAAGGGAGTGTTTGGTTATCAAAATTTTCCAAAACAAACCCGATCCCCAAAAATTTGGAGAATTTGGAGGTTCCACTACAAAAATGTTGACATAACAGGATTGGCGAGTTAACGGAGGTCAAGATAAGTGGGTTCGACTGTAGTTGGCAGTTCAGTGTGGTTTTCCAAGTTCATACGTGACAAAGTGCTACATTGACTAAAGTAGCCAGTTTAGATTAGGGGTGTGCCGGATCCGTTTTTTCCAACCGGATCCGGATTTTCTTATGCGAAATCCGCCGGATCCGGATTCCGGTTTCTCCCGGATTCCGGATTTTGGTACTTTGCAGATACCGGTAAATCTGAGGGGATTGGATGCCTTCTGAACAGTTGGCCTAAATGGCTAAATGACATTGGATGATTGGAAGTAGGAAGTGAAGAACTTTGAAATAAATTAGAAAATAGAAATTATTCAGAAATCACTGAAATCAGAATAAAACGCAGATTGATAATAAGTTATTATCCATATGTAACTAAACTCGCTGTTAAGTTCTAACTCGCTGCAAGGTCAAAGGAAAACAACTTTACTATTAGTCTATTACTTTCATTACTTAATGTATCGTGATCGTGTGGAATTCGGGAAAGACAATTACTTTTATTTCAGATTATGATCCGGTGAGTCACAAAATCTGGCAAATTCCGAAATCCGGTATATTCCGGTTGTTCCGGATACATGTAAATCCGGCGGAACCGGATTTCACCGGATAGTGCAAAATCTGGCGGAACCGGATTCCGGCACACCCCTAGTTTAGATGATGAAACAATAGAAGAGATTGAAGTATAATTTATTTAAATTAATGGAGAAAGAATGGTGAAGACCTTAAAGTTCGAGATAGATCTAAACCAGATTTTATAAACCAACACTGTTATATCTGTAGATAATATACCAGCTGGTGCCTATGACCATGGTGATGGCGGGTGAACTTAAGAAAATGGACATTCAGATACCCAGGTATTCGCTCCATGGGTCAACATAGCCCCCATGCAGGTGCTTTTAAAGATTTTGACAGCTCTAATCATGATATTTTTTAATACAATCAACTTGTTATACCTTAACACCTCTGTCTACCTGTTATACCTTAACACCTCCGATGTCAAATGCACTAAAAAGTAAGAAACAAGTTGATTCTGTTTGTTAACTTTACTTTTATATACAATTACAAGCCCTGATTGATTCATCTCAAGATGAAATAAAACTTAAGAGGCCTATCCAGTGACAAACGAATCTTTGTTATTTGGGAAAATTCTTAACAGAAGGAAGATTTTAAAAAATAAAATTTACTGATTGTAAATATTTCCACAAGAAAATAATAATTTTACTACCGATACTCACAAACTATCGACTATCGAGTTCAACTTTTGGGAAAGTCCAAACACACATTTTAAGAGCAGTTAATAATTACCACAAAAAAAAAAAAATAATGATCTAAAGCAGGTGAAAAATTTCTTACCACATTCTAAAGCTTGCCTATTTTTGTTTAGTATATTATGTACAGTTGCAAGTAGCCACATAAGAAATTCGGCGGCATCTTGTTGCCTCAGCTGCTCTCCTGGTGGTGAAACAAGGCTCGGGTTCAGAACAGATGCAGCCTTACGGAATCTTGTTGCATTAAAAACTTTGTAGTCAGAACACACCGGGTCAATTGTCAAAATATCTAACAGTTCTGCTAAAGATGATAAGAGATCCGATTCTGCCACACTACATTCTAATTCTTTAGCTGCATCAGCTGTGAGGCACTGAACTAGATAAGGACCTCTAGCCAAGCACTGGATTACAGAGTTAATGAAGCACATGTTTTGTCCATTATTAACAAGGCCTACAGGTTTTGGAACTGTCTGACCAAATCCCATAACATTCATGAATTTAGATTTAATAGACGACGATTGTGACATAGGTTTAGGACCAAATTTTGATCCAAGATCAGGATGGAGAGATCGTCGAGGTAAGCTCAAATTGGACCATAAAGTTTTCCGTTCATTTGAGTCTACGCCTTGCATAGAAGTGATACCACTATCATACTGTCCTCTGCTTACAGCAGTGTTTTGAGTATCGACACCTGCATAGGGCCCTGCATTATTCCAGTTTTTACCTACAGCTGGATGCAACCCTCTACTTAGTTTCACAGCATCCCTGTAGGATGCAGACCCGGGTCCCATTGAATAGGCAGGTCTTTCTTGACCAGGGACAACTGTAGCATTAGGAGGGTAATGCAAATTTGTTTGCCTGTTAAAAAATTGATAACTATGCCCATAACTAAGGTCTTGATTTTGTCCACTGAGGTTGCTCAATTCTGCTGCGGTGCTATGATTCAAACCAGCCATACCAAGAGCTTGCTGTTGTAATTGCTGTTGCTGCTGTTTTTGACGTTCTACTTGTTTCATACTTTCCTCGTGTTGCAGGTGGTTTTCCCATTGTGCACGAAGATTGGCCACAAAGTTGGTAGGGTCTGAACGACCAAAAAGTTGTGTGTACATAAACGTTACGCATGTTAACACTATGAGAACATAGGGCACATGATGGAGGATACCCAATAATAAGCAGATCAAACTCAAGCCAATTGACTCATACAGCCAAATTTTTCGTTTTTCTCGCTCATTTCTGAAATGAAAAGAAAATAAGTTTTGAGATTAGATTTTTTTTTAAAAATCAGTAGCCTAACAAAAAACCTTAAATGCCAGGAAAGCTAAAAATATTTTTTTTACATTTCTTTCTTTTAAAATTAGTGTTGTTAAAATAGAAATTTACAGTTTCTAAAGTCTTTAAAAAATATTCTAAAAATATTTTTAAAAGCTTATCCTTAGGACTAGGGATTCTATTAAATTAATTTGCTTGATAATATTCATGAAAATTGAACCCAACCTTCTGGGATCACATTAGAATGATATTCATGAAAATAGAACCAAGCCACCCAGGAGCGCTTCCCCCCACAATCTCAGAATAAATATTGCAATCTCAAAAAATTTTCACGATGTACATATATATGTTCATGATGTTAAACAACTTTGACACAACTAATTTTAATAAATGGTCTACCACATATTATATATAATTATTCTAACTATTAAACTATCACTTAACAGAAATAATTATTCTAATGGTTAATCAGCCAAACACTTAGAAAAAATAATTATTCTAACCTAACCAAACTTTTCCCCTGAATCCAAGAAAATGAATTAATTACGATTTATTCGTTTTTCCCTGAGGTTAGAAATGATACAAATTCTGTTATTATCTCAATAAATGAAAATGTGTTTTGATTAAATTGTACACATATTCATTTTCAGCATATGGATAAATTATCTTATAAGGATTAAAAAAAACCAGTTAAAATTGTTTTTAATCTAGAACAATTTAAACTTAAATACATTTAAAGTATTTCTCAAGCGCAAAAATCAGCCATCATATAAAATACCATCCAAAACCATTTCCTTATTGACAATATTGCCTTAATCTCATAACAGTCACAAAATCAAGCTGGTCAATTCTGAAAGATTGAGGAACAAATGAATTTCTATAGCTTTCGTTCCTTACTTTCACTTACTTTTTAATAAAATAAAAAGTGTTTTACTATGTTATATGTCAGACCAGTTTACTTTTACGATTTTGGCATATAATGTACAATTTTGAGGTGTATACATTTTATATACTGTATGTTTATTTTTCACTATTAAGATAATGTTTTGAATGATTTTGTGATGTTATTGTACGATTTTAAGAGTGTGAGAGTAAACAGGTCTGACATATAACATAGTAAAACACTTTTTATTTTATTTAAATGAAAATAACTCAATTAAGTATAATAAAGCTGGTAAAACTTTATTAATCAGCAAAATCTTAATTCATCCTCAGAAATAAAATTTTTCCAAAATATCTCGTTAATGCGAAGAACGCAAATCGCTCGCTAAAAACTTCAGTGCAGGAAAGAGCCTCTCTACGCTTGCTTGTGAAACTGGCAAACAAGTGACTATTCTGCATGCCTTTTGAATAGTGTTCAATTCCCTCGTCAGCTGATTTGATTTTTAAGTGTCCTTTTTCTTCCATTTCTTTACAGGCATCTATGAAATTTTGGTAAAAAGATTCTTTACTTGTGAAATTAATTTTAGAATTATAGAAGATTTGCTATGGAGCTGGAGCCAAATATGTCAGCAAATATTTGGGCTACAGCTCCGGCACAAGTGACAACACTAGCTCCGGCTCCAATGCACTGCCTTTGATTTTAGTTATAAATCTGCTTTTTAAAAAATATATATAACAATGAAAAAAAATATAGGCTGATGTAGGCAAAATAATTAATACCAGTACTAATAAGCTAGGGTAATCTACCATCTGAGCATCCGTTAGGAAAAGAAATCACTCTGTTCCAGACTGAAGTGCTATTTAAACGGTGTTGTTTTATTGATAAGATAAAAATCTGTTATTGATTCAAATAAATGGACATTTTTTTTTAACATTGTACATATGCATTTCAGCTCATATATTAACGACAACAATTTTAAATTAGTAAAATGTTAACAATCTAATAATTTTTCTAATAGAAACATTTAAAAATTTGATAACTTTGCAAATAGAAACTAAAAAATTAACAATTAGTGTATGTAAGAAAACATATTTTCAGTTTATATTATCTCCACAAAAACAACTGCGTGACATGAACTCATGCAAATATGAAGGGAAAAGATCGCAACTTGTGCCAAAGTGTCTATTCAGTTTGTGCTTTGCCACGTGCACCCACATATTTTCAAAATTCTGTGTGTGGACACCAGCGTCATTTTAATTTTGTTGATGAACAACAACGGAGTTTCCGTAAATTCTGTGTCTCATCTGATTTATATTTGTATAAGCCACTCATCCATCTGATACAATAAGTGAGCCTGGACTGGAAGGACATATCTCTCTATGCACTCCTGTAACGTAATCACACATCATTCAGGCACTTAAAAAAGATAACAGCACCCATTCTCTCTTGACACAGAAAACCTAGGGACAAACCTATTAACCCTCGAATTCCTAAAAATCGTAAAATATCGTCTCATAATCATATAATACAGTATCTTTTAATAGTAAATAAATATACATACAGTATATATAAGGTATAACTACTCGCATCGCATGTAGCGTAGGATCCAGTTAAACTGACGTCAAAATGACTGACATTTATATTGCTATCAGATGTAACTTTGTTTTGCAGACGTGTATCTGCTATAGCTATAGATATCTATGAATATTTACTGCTACTGTTTCAAAAAAAAAAAGGTCATAGTGAAATTTACGTGGTTCAAACTCCAAATCAGATCAGCGTAAAATAAAATTTATAAAAATAAGAATTAAATAATTTGGGCCTCGCTTTATAAAACCTCCTAGTAACTTATGATTTATTTTTTTAGGAAAATCAGTTTAAAAAAAAAAAAATATCAATATCCATTATGCCTATTTTTCCGTTAAAATATTACAGTCTGATAACTATCACACACTGTAAATGGGTGAAAGGAAGAGTGCGGTATTAAAAATGATACAGCTGTTTAGTGCGTTATAAAAATAGATTTCTAAGGCCATCTCAGATTCTATAAAATATGTCAAAATCTAATGTTAAGAATGCCTTCTCTAGTTCTTTTTTTACACTTGTTGCAGTTTACTTGTGAGTAATAATGATGTCACAAAATTATGTCATACAGCACCAAAGCAAACAAATGTGAAGGTGAGGAGGGGCCCATCTGTCTAGTATGCAAAAAAAGTCAAATTTTCTATAAGTAATATCTGAGTATATCTGAGCGAGTTAATTTGTGAAAATCCTTGGCAACATTATGATGATAATTCCAACAAAACATTGCATGATATTTTTACAGCATTTGAGATATAAATATGTAAAATTCTCATTCAGGATTAAAATTGCAGAATTTTTTTTACAACATACATACTTTCTGCCAAGACCCCCTCCAGCCCTTGCCAAATGCACAAGTACACAAAACTCTAAAAAATTTACACCCCCCTTCCCCCTCCGTTTGTAAGTACGGTGCCGGATTAATAACTAAGACTAAGGTAGGCAGTAAGGTTTACCTAATTAATTAAGGATTAACTCTTTCCATGCCAATTGACAGTATACTGTCGATTTGGCTGGTCGCGTTCGTGCCAACCCACAATATACTGTCGATATCATTTATGTAGTTTATTTATTTTGTTTCTTGTGGCTCTTAATCCGACTTCTTTTTGTTCTTAAACGAAGGATAACTCTTACTACTTCCCTTTTTAAGAAGTAGGGCATGTTTGCATGTGTTTTTTCTAATAATAGTTCAATTTGTGTTGAACCTTTTGTAAACAAAGCCATGGCCACGCCCACTCCAAGCGTGTCAGCTGTTGCTAGACCACGTAGGTAGTCAATTTTGCAAACAAAAGAACTTTTATTGCTAATTATTGATGCTGAAACAACAGACAATATTCATGAATCATTTGAATCTGATTCCAATGATGATTTTCAGCATTCTGATGGGTTGGTAAATGCCAAATGGAAATAGTAATAGAATGGTGATAGTAATAGTAATAGTGGTGACTGTCGGCACTTTCATAAAAATTTCAAAACATTTTTAAAAATATAAAAATACCACAAATATATAGAGCCTAGAGAATGGATTAAAAAAAACACCCAGATCAACTTTCTAGCTCAAGTAGTTCAAAAGTTATGAATTTTTTTCAAAACCACTTTGTTACTATGGCAACAGTGAGGATTCAGATAAGAATACTCTTAACGTTACAAAAATGGGTATAACTCTGTAAAAAAATGGAATATTTTCAAAATGTAAAATGTATTATGATAAAAAATGGATATACTTTTTGGGGATTGAAGCAGAATAGGATATCAGCTACACAGACCGTATGGTAGTTTGGTTCAAATTTGGTGTGCTAATTTTAAAAATATAAAAAATTTGATCTCACAATTTTACCTAAAAAATTTAACTAATTGATGTTATATTGTTTTTTGTTTTTTTAAAACTCCTGTACCGCGCTTCGAGCTCGAGCCTTTGGGGATGAAGCGTGTTTTTGAAATGGCTGCAACTATTAGTACCCGGGTACTAGAAGTGTGAGGTTGGGATTAAAAAACGATTTAAAATTTTATTGTTGGGTTTGTAAGACAAAATGAGATATCAAATGAAAGATAATTGAATGAACTATATTGGCTGCAACTATTAGTACCCGGGTACTAGAAGTGTGAGGTTGGGATTAAAAAACGATTTAAAATTTTATTGTTGGGTTTGTAAGACAAAATGAGATATCAAATGAAAGATAATTGAATGAACTATATGTTTGTAAACTTAATTCTCCAGTTTAAATAAAATAAACTACCACAAATGACATCCGAGTAGCACCGAGTCAAAATGGACCCAGACACGCATCGCACCCGGGTACCATTAGTCTCAGGCTATTCGGATGTCATTTGTGATAGTTTATTTTAGTTAAAATGAAGAAGTAAGTTTACAAACATATAGTCCTTTCAATTATCTTTCATTTGATACCTCATTTGGTCTCACAAACCCAAAAATAAAATTTTAAATAGTTTTTTAAACCCAACCTCTCACTTCTTGTACCTGGGTACGAATAGCCACTTCGTTTTGAAATACACTTTATTATTATTATGGGAAGCGTTATACGCAGTCGGCTGCGTATAACCCTGAGAGTTATACACAGCCGACTGCGTATAACTCTCAGGGTTATACGCAGTCGGCTGGAAATTTAGCCAAATAAGGTTTATTATCGCTTGTTTGGCAATTTAAAAAAAAGTATTATGCGTAATTAGCTGCATGACGGGTTGTTTTGTACTAGAACTTTGGTTGTGTTTAACGTAAAATTTTAATTGAATTAATTTTAATTAATATTGAAATTGATGATAGCAATAGTATTAGCATTAGTGCTATTATTAGTATTATTGCTTGTATCTTATATATTATAATTATAAGTATAAGTCAAAGTCTACATTTCTTAGAGTCTAAGCCTAAGTCTTAGATTTTTTTAAAGGCATTTCCATGGTCTAAGTCTAGTTATGTATTTTGATTGATTAGGTTTTTATATGTTGCTATGACTATGTCTATGTCTATGTGGTTGGTTTTACTGACTAATTCAGGAAATACATTCTATTTATCTTTTTTTAAATTTTATCATTTATGATTTTTTTTTTTTGATGACCTAAATGTAACAGTTTTCAGCTTCCATGCAAAACTATAACTGTGTGAAAGTATTACTTACACTGCCCCCTCTACAGAACCCCTGCCCCTACGGGGATTTTTTTACTGCTACTCTCAACCCATGATGATTATTTTTATTACTGTACCAGTGAAACATGATTTTATCTGCCACAAAATTAGTTAACAACACAAACATATATTTGATAATTATAAGTATAACACTATTAACATTAGATTAGTTAATTATTCTTCTCATGTTTTAACATTTTTTAGCCAAAAAAAAAAGTAAAACAATAAGCCTAGTTGTTGCTTCATTTTCGAGAAAAAGCATAGCAACCAATGCGTAATCATGGCTTGCCGTTGGCTGGAATTGAACTCAAGACCACCAACTTGAGGTTTGGTCAGTTTAGACCATTTGACCACACAGTCACCCCGATATCACGGCACCCTTATTGATTGATACTGTAAACACAGGAAGAATATAGACGTCACGTGACTTGCCGACTGCGTATAACTCTCAGGGTTATACGCAGTCGGCTGCGCATAACCACTTCGTATTATTATTATAATTTACATATTATTCTGTCTAATTTCCTTTAATTTGATATGAAATACAGCTATCTTGCTAAAACAAATGTATTCAAAATTAATTAATAGATAGGAGCACCCTAAAAAATTTCCATTGGCCAAATACTGGTCTGGCACGAACGTGGAAAACCCCCTGGCATGGAAAGAGTTAAACTTAATTATTCCTTCAATAAACTGTGGAACACCTCGCTGTGCCCTTAATGAACTGCTAACTCAAAATTAAATCGGCCAACAATTTTATGCATAGCCTACGTCTACTAGCTTACTTATGATACTAAATGCTAAGTCTGCCTAAGTCACAATTGTCTCAATCACAATGGACATGGTCATGGTACTATCGCTCAGCTCATAAACTGTCATTCTTTCTTTCTTGACTCTCTGCTTGGACTTGGTCAGAGTTTAATTATATTATTATTAGTTATGGCTGCGGCTATTCAGACCTGTGCTTAAGACCCGGAAAAGAGCGAGAGGTTGAATGGACATTTCTAGTCTAAAGTTTAGACTAAAGGGACCCAGGTCCGATCAGTGTGGCACATAGGACCTGAGATTGAGATTGAGGTCCCTTTTAGTAGTTTTCAACTTTTCACTACTAAATGCTATTCGGATGTCATTTATGATAGTTCATTTTAGTTAAACTGAAGAAGTAAGTTTACAACCACATAGTCCAATCAATTATCTTCCATTTGATACCAAATGTTGTCTTACAAACCCAACAATAATAAGTTTATACCCAACCTCTCAGTGTCTCACTCTTTTCCGGGTCCGAATATTATCGGTATTCAGTATAGTCACTTCGATTAGTTGTTATGGATGAGCAAAGGCACACATATTACGACTCCAGGAGCAATGCACTCGGAGAAGCACAAATACAATAATAAATTGTAACTAGCCAAATAATTAAATGAAAACAAGACCCATGCAGCACTATGTTGGCCTAGACTAGCATTCTACTTACACAGCATCCCTGAGTGGGGATTTCACCACGACATCAACCAAAACAAAGGCAACAAAATCCAATCCAATGCAATAAATTGCAGTGTAAATCCAATTAAATGCATCCATTTCAAACTGATATAAATTCTTGCTTTTTATGAATGCATGTGAAATCATCGATTAATCATTTTAATACAGATAACATTAAACGGTTTATTTGTTATTATGCCGATCTATAGATGATAATAGTTTGAATTTGGTTCAAAATGGCGGCTAAATAAAATTTGGTTCAAATTTAGGTCAGTGGGTTGCCAGCTAATGCGTATAGCTTATTAGTAGGCCAAAATAATGAAGCTCATTATCCTTAAGGCATTAAATATTTTCTTGTGTTAAAACTGAGACATAAAAACAATAGAAAAAATTGTGTAAATTGAATATTGAACGCAAAAATAAAAATTTCAAGGTTGACGAGTTAAGACTTAAAATCAAAATAAAAACTTTGAATGAGGTTCTTTTTTTTTTTTTTTTTCCCTCTTTCGTCAGTGTGAAAACTGAAAATGGTCCTTTAATTTAAAATTTATTAATAATACTAGCAATAGCCCTCCAAATAATGGCGGTCGCAGTTTGCGAGTTATTGTTTTACGAAAATAGTCTCAATTCAAAATACATCTTAAATTTGAATTTCCATAAAACAAAAGAAAATAATACGCACCAAATGCACTTTTTTGTGGTATTTTAAAGAAAATTAGCGAAACAAACTATGGGCATATGAAAAACCTTAAAAAAAAAAAAA